AAAAAAAAAGAAAACTTTACTTGAATATATATATAAAAATAAACAGTTACTTATAATTGAATAAAAAAAAAAAAAAATGTATGTATTGAAATTCCTACGTCGATAGTAGGAAATGCATGTACTATCTCTTACCAAGTGTTATGATTATGTGATTGCCACACAATACATATATAATATCAATATTTAGCTGGTATCAGACTGTTTTTGGAACAGGAATTGGAATAGGAGGTTTTTGAATGTATACAGGGAAGGGGCATGTCGAATTTTGATCGGGAGGGAATTCCAAAAGTTGACAGAGCGGGCTATAAAGGAATTTTGGAATGAGGCAGATCTATGAGAAGGGATGTATAGGTCAGAGGGTCGGGATCTTGTAGTGAGTGAATGGATTGAGGACTTAAATTGGAGAAGGTTGTAGGCATAAGAAGGACGATGATCGGTAATGATTTGATAAAGGAAAGTGCCAAGGAAATATTGTCTTCTTAAGGAGGGGAAGAGCCACCCTAACTCAGTGTAGTGGTGGGAGACACGGGAGCGTCTCGGGGTTCCAATTACAAATCTTACGACATATATATATATATATATATATATATATACACACACACAAGGTGTCCCGTAAGTAGAGGGAAATATTTAAAAGTTTTATATTAGATATAAAGATCTACAAAAAAGTACATATAGATAATTTCCCAATTTCTAGCAGAAAAGTAGGAAATTTAAGATTTGTGTTTTTTTAAGCGATTCACGTTTTTTGTTGCATAGGGAGTGATAGCTTAAAAAATATTTGATTTAAGTAATTAAACATTGCTACATAGGAAAATAGACAAAATTTACTTTAAACGAATGTAGTGTTTGTCATTGGTAACGCTATTTAAAGAGTAATGAAGAGAAGGATGATTGGGGTGATTAGTCAAAATAAAAATGGCAAAAATAAGTAATAATATTTATTTTAACATTTGCCGATGTTTCGACCCAAAGTTCAGGCCTCCATCAGGGCTGAGAAAAGAACCAGATAACAATAGGTATGAGAAACATATACAATGTAGGTAAAAAAACTTAAAGTAAAATGAAGTAGATAAGTGAACATTAAAGTAAAATAAAGTAGGTAGAATAATGACAATAACAAGAACTAAGAAATAAATAATAATAATGGTTACAAAGTGTGGACTAATTTTGAGATTCACCTCAAGTTATGTAAAGAAATTGTGTAAATCTCTATCCAGTCACCTGAAAGTACTTTTGTTTTCAGCAAAAACTATTATAATTAACTGTTGGAAAGCTTTTATTTATTGTTTTCCATGATATGGGATGTATTGTAATTAACATAATTGTCTAAAAACAGATTTTATTTATAAAAATAAAAACAAATTCAAATATTGAATTGAATAAATGAAACATGTCTTCCTCTGAAGTACCTTTAATTTGGTTTATTTTGGATAATTAACTATCTTTCATTATTAAGGCTTACGAAGAAAGAACTTTTGAAATGATAATTGAAAAATGGAGAAAAAAGGGAAAATGTGTATTGAGGTAGAAAATGAGTTTCTGAAAATACTAGTCAGAAGTTATACTTGTAATATATCGTTGGAAAGCAGAGAATTTTAGAAAAAGCAATATCAAATATAGAATGTAATTGAGAGTGACAAAAAATGATTGTTCAATATTGGGGAGCCCGGTACATGCCATATGACCAGGAGCTCTGTTCTTGAGATATACAAAAAGAAATAAATATTTTGTGAAGGAATACTTGTGAATATATTAATTTGATCTACGTACAGTTTGATGAGGGGGCCGGTCTAGTGCCTTCTCTCTCACTCTCTCTCTCTCTCTCTCTCTCTCTCTCTCTCTCTCTCTCTCTCTCTCTCTCTCTCTCTCTCACTCTCTCTCTCTTGTTCGTCTTAGGTCCTGGAAATAGCCGAAGGGCTGTGATTCTTCAGGTCTGGTTATGAGGTAGCTGTAAGCTGTCTTCTTACTCCCTTCGCTTGCTAGCATCTGACTTTTGGCCATAGATAAGGCCGTCTTAGAGAGGGGGTAGTGCAAGTTGAGACCGGGGGTCCCCATGTCTTATTTATTCAAGTGAGAATATAATTCTAAATGCTATGCATTTATCCAACAATGATAAATAATAATTTTTGAAAACTAATATTATTTAACGGAAATCACACGTTTTCAAGGAAATTGAATGAAATTTATCAACTAAATGTAAACATTTCTTTAAATTTGAAAAAAAAAATATTTCTAATCCACCTAATCAAGGCAATGGCATTCTTTAAAAAGCTATTTCATTGTACTGATGTAAAAGAAGAAGTGAAATATAAAAATATTTCATGGATGTATAAAGCATATGTTTATAACCTTAAATACATTTACTGTAGTTTAATAATTCTAAATTTGATATTATATATAAATAATTAGGTATCAACGTCCGTCTATTCCGAAAAATCATTGTGTAACCTTTAAAAAAATTAAATTAGTGAATATTATCCACATTGAACATTATCCATAAAATTAGTCCATAAAATTAATCCATAAAAACATAAATTAGTGAACATTATTCACTAAAAATTAGTGTAAAAACTTTTGACCTATCTATGACAGACAATGAAAATTTCTTTGTAGTAAACTTTACAAATAATAGTTTAATAACTAATATGCGTAGAATACGTAATCATTTATAGGTTGAATATAGAGTTATACTTTCAAATCTCTCTTAAGCATATATATATTGCTCAGAGACTGGAGTTATGTGGTTTTTGTTAATAGGGTTTTTGTTATTTTAGTTGTTAATGATTTTTTAGCTGTAAACTTCGAGCTATAGCTCTGTTAGAAGTGCACATCAAAAATTGTATAACTGTTTATCATTGCCAGAAAATAATTGTTATTCAAATTAGAAAGGCAGCTGAAAGTTGTCTATTACGCCCTCCAGATTTTTAATTACTTAAATTCAATATTTTTTAAGTTATCACTTACTATTCAACGGGATTTGCTTAAAAAAACACAAATCTTACCTTTCTGCTGGAAATTGGGCAATTGTTCATATAAACTCTTTTGTAGATCATGATCTGTACTATCAACATTTTTAAATATTCCCCTCTACTTATGGGACACCGTGATTGTGTGTGTGTGTGTGTGTGTGTGTGTGTGTGTGTGTGTGTGTGTGTGTGTGTGCGGGTGCGGGTGCGGGTGCGTGTATGTGTGCGGGTGCGGGTGTGCGTGTGCGTGTGTGTGCGGGTGCGGGTGCGTGTGCGTGTGTGTGTGTGGTTGGTTACAAAGTGTGGACTAATGAAGTAAACATAATCAAAATAAGGTAACATAAGAACTAAAATGGTAATCTTAGAATAAAATGTAAAACAGAAAATTTATACCAAATCTTTTAAGGCTGCGAAGTTTACGGTTCTCTGACCATTTTCATTTTTGACATTATGAATGCCGTATAGACCTGTTGTGGGTCTATATTGAGCTTCTTTTCCTATTTGGCCATTGAAGTTCCCAATCACAATCATCACATCAGCCATCGGACAGCTATCAATGCATCTTTCAAGATCTTGGTAAAACCGATCCTTTTCATCTTTTTCCGATGGCTCTGTTGGTGCATGGATGCTCATAATGCTGAAATTATAGAATTTAACTCTCATTCGGAGATAGCATATTCAGGGAGAAATAGCGTTAAATCCAACAACGAGCTGAGCCAGCTTCTTATTGATGACAAACCCAGATCCATAGGCATACAGATGGTCATGACAGCTGTAATAGATGGCATGATTTTTCTTGTTAAATATTCCCTGACCTGTCCAACTAATTTCTTGGATCACAGCTATGTCTATTTTATATCAGTCCAATTGTGTTAGGAGATGCTCTAGAGCTCCCGGTAGGTATACTGATAAAGTGTTCCATGTTTAAAATCCATTAGATGGGTGCCGTGTAGTTGCCTTAAGTTCAGTCCGGCTTGTCTCTGAACGGGCTTCAGAATAATTAAATTTGAGGGGAGGGAGTTATTAGCCCAAACTCTGCTCCCAAGTCAGGTGAAGGGGCTGCCTCCTAAGAGCATCCTGAAACACTCCCGTCCGGAGCGGCTTCCTAGGGAAGGTGTGTACTGTTGATGACCTTTGAATGTTGATGTGTGGTGTTTATAGTGTGCTGTTTATAGTTTACTGTCTGAATGTCAGAGTTATTGTTCCCCCAACCTAGAGGACCAGTGGCTGATAGCAGTCACATGACAGGGCGATGAGGTCGTCACTTCCCTATGCCTATTGTCATTATTCTATTTTATTTTACTTCAATGTTCACTTATATACTTCAAGTTTTTTTACCTACATTGTTTATGTTTCTCATACCTATTGTTATCTGGCTCTTTTCTCAGCCCTGATGAAGGCCTGAACTTTGGGTTAAAACGTCGGCAAATGTTAAAATAAATATTATTATTTATTTTTGCCATTTTTATTTTGACTGATCACCCCAACCATCCTTCTCTTCATTATTCACTACAGTCAACCATCAACCCACAATTATTTAAAGAGTACTTTTGGCTTAACACAGCTAAGTTCCGTCTTAAAAAAAGTAAAAAAAAAAATTTAATTTGAAAAATACTGATTTTTCAAATGTTTTCCCGGTAAATAGGTTATAAATTGTACTTTTCACCCAGATCTCTATCATAGGAATTGATCCATAATAAGTGACAAACAATGAAGTAATTATTAATTACTTAAATTAAATATTCTTTTAGTTATTGCTTTCAGTTCAATAAAAAATATAACTCACTTTAAAAACCCACCAAACTTGGATTTTCTACTTTTTTGCTGAAAATAGGCTAATTGTTTATATGAACTTTCTTGTACCTCTTGAAGTCTGCTATCAGTCCTATAAAAATTTCCCTCTACTTACAAGACACCATATATATAAGTAAACATGGTTACAACCTTAAGAAATCTCATAGTTATGTTTACTAATGCCTGCTGGCTCTATTTTTTTATGCCAATATTCAATTTTAATTTTATTTTTTACAGGTTATTCAAAAAATGGCCTCGTTTGATGAGGAAACCAATGGTACATACTCTGAAACTTGGTATTCACATGAAGGAGATCCTGAAGATTTTGTTTATTTTCCATCTTCGACCTATGGTATTGACGCAAATCGGACCTTTGAGTATGTAATATTTGTTTACTATCAATTTTTTTATCTTATTAGTTGGTCTCTATATTATACAATTACTTAAAACTTAAATTTACCAATTTCAGCAGTTTTCCAATCATTAATATGATTGAGATCCACTTAAATTAGTTATGAAACCTTAGTGTTTTTATTTTTATTTCAAAGACCCCCCCCCCCCAGCTCTACTGTTTGTTTAGTGGACTTCCTTCATCAATTCACAGGGCTTTTCACATGTTTGCACATTTCACGCAAGTTCCTGACACAGGAATGCATCAGACCTCCACTAGTCCTTCATCAATTTATAAGCTTTCTAAAGTTTTAATGTTATCTTGCTTTACAGGAATTTTTCCCTTGTTATATTTTTATTGAATATTGTTAATTGTTCATAACTTATGAAGACTTTTTCATTGGAAAAATACAAAAAAAAAAAAAATTAGACTGCTGTAAATAATTCCAGCAGTCCAATCATATTTGGTGACGGAAACTAGTCGACCCAGGAAAAAATTGTTTAAGAATTTTTCCTGATGGCTCTATATGTTTTTTGGGGTGCTGAATCTAAAAATCGAGTTATCTACTTGGTTTGGATGGTGTGAGACAGTTAAGCAGCTGCTAAAACCTATGGAATCGAAGACATATTTCACTTGTAGTATCCGTCATACTCAACTTTTTATCTTTCAATGCTTTTCATTTGGCTAATTTAACTATGTTTATAATAGAACTAGAATGTATAAACAAATTACATTGCTTTTCTATATTCTGTTAGTATAAGAGACATCAAATTCATAATCATAAAAAAATTAAGGACCGAAATGTGCTTCAAAGTCCTAGCGGTCCTACAACATTTCACCTACTTTCGTATTACAACTCGACATAAGCTTGAATTAAATTCGAAGTGCATCAAAATTCTTATCAAGCTCGGGTATAATCGTTAATATATGAAAAAGTTGAAAAGCCATTAGACTTCTGGGACTTTAAACCACATTTTAGTCCTTAATTTTTCTTAAAATAGTTAAATTAGCCTAATCAATAGCATTAAATCGATAAAAAGCGCTCACGTTGAGTTTGGCAGATACAATGAGTGAAATACGCTTTTGATTCCATGTGCTTTAATAGCCGCTTAACCATCTCACATGTATAAATAAGGTACCTAAGAAATTTATATTCTTTCAAATTGATTCTAAGAATTTCTTCGAGAGATCCATAGATTACGAGTTTTGGGGTGAAAAAACTGACGAAAACAGATATTTCTTGTAAAATAAGTAACCAGTCAACATGCCCTATCTCCTCAACTGTTGGTCCTACATCAAAAAGCTATGTGTAAAATTGATAGTAAATATTAACTGAAACCAGCAAAAATTTATTAAAATAAGATAAGGTGAATTGATAGAGTGCTCAGTGACTGGGAATTTTCCAAAAACAGGATATTTTACTGGAATTTTTAAATTATTTCTTAAAAAAATGTTTATACTCTACAACCATACACATAGTCTTTTGGATATAGTTGGATGAGATCATGAGTTTGCAGAAATTTTCAAAATTAAGGGCGGGATTATGATCGACATGGTGCTAACCGTACTTAATACTAGTACTGCACTCTCATTGTCCATCGTCAAGTTCTCATAATTATCAAAGTTTCCATAGATTGTCACTATAAATATTTTTTCATAATCTTTTGTTTAAACATACATAAATATGCAGGTAGGTTTTTAGGAAGAATATATTTTTTTCTTTTAATTAAGACTAAAAATTTTGAATAACTGCAGGGTGTTTAACATTCAGAAATATGTGAGAGATTTTGCAGGGTTGTGAAAAGATGAAAATTTACCTTTAATTTTGTGAAAATAATTCATTAATTCTAAACTTTAATATCTTATATTACATTACATTTTAGGTATGCTGGTTTAATTGTTTTTACTGATGTTGACATTCCAAGAAGAATTGATTACTGCAACAGATCTTTAGGGTTAATGGACTGTTTAAATGGAAGGTGTTACAGAATTGAAGAAAGATGTAATGGAATTTTAAATTGTGATGATGGTACTGATGAGGCCAATTGTAAGTATTTATTAGATATTAGATTTAAGAAAATAACTGGTTAAAAAAAAACTATATATATATTGCTACAACTTTAAATGTTAATTGGTTTTATTTATATACTTTTTTAATTTAAGAATTTTTTTTTTTTGTGGTAGCTAGGTACTCTGAATGGCATAAGCATTATGGAACCATAACACAAGCTAGTGGCCAATGCTATATTATGATAAATATTGCGGATTTTGATGAGGCCGTAGGCAGGTTCCTGAAATTTCTCAAGAATATCAATGCGGAACTGCCAGGTCCCCAGCACCCAGCCGTCAAATTTTACAGATTGAGGAAAAAAAATAAAACTAAAGTGACTGAAAAGGGTGCTGGACAAGTCTCAAATCCGCAAAGAGCGAACAAAGTAGACAGGAGTCTTCGGCAAGAACAGTATCAATATGAGGTTGCACAATATAATTACTATAATAAAAGGAAAAAGGTTGTGCAAACCGTAATGAATGCCGACGCTCCTAAGCGGTGTCCTCTGAAGATGGCCGATATCGAAAAACATTATAGAGACCTCTTTGAGAGCGAAAATCTCCGCAGGCGTGCGGATTACGAACAGTGCGCCCCGATGCCAAATTTGGTGTCCATTGATCTAGAGAGCCATTGACCGTCAAGAGAGCCATTAAATCAACATCAATGGACACATCGCCGGGGCCTGATGGAGTTCTGATCCGCACGATTAAATATTTTGATGTAGCAAATATTATCAGAATAATTGCGGAGATAATGCTGAAGGTGGCCTATGTCCCAGAACCACTTCGACAAGGGCGCACAATACTAATATATAAGGGGAAAGGTGATGTAAATAAAATCCCTTCCTGGAGACCCATCACCATTTATTCTATTGTGCGCCGAATCATAGAGAAGGTTCTGGACCATGAACTAAGAAAGCAGGTCACCTTCCACAGGAATCAGAGAGGCTTTATAAAAGGCCTCCCGGGAACGCACGTCAACGCAAGGATTATCGACGCTATATTAAAAGATGCCAAAACTATGAAAAATGATTGTGCGGTAGTCTTCCTTGACGTTGTTGGTGCTTTTGACAATGTTGGCCATAAACACATCGTGAGCTCCTTAGAAGCAAGAGGTGTGTCACCGGATCTTAAACGTGTTATATCGGCTCTCCTCTGCACCAACACAATCAAAATTAGTAACGGTGTTCACGCAACTAGCCAGATCAAAGTGCTGCGCGGGGTACCCCAAGGCGGCCCCTTATCGTCGTCGTTCTTCAACCTGGCCATCGATCATCTCTATCGCGACCTGTGCGATGAAGAATTTTCCAAAAAATTTGGATACAAGTTAAAAAGTGACCAAGGGTGTGTGGTCCTCACAGGTTTCGCGGATGACCAGGCCGTGTCAGCGCGTGACAAGGGGGCTGCAGAAAGAGTGATCGGCAGCGTTCAGAGGACTTTTGAGGAAATTGGTTTGGCTATTAATCCTCAAAAAAGCGTGGGCATCGTTCTAAATAAAGGTGAGCTGGAAACAGCGATGCTCTCCCTTGAGAACGGAGAGTACATCCAAACATTGCAGAATGGAGATACAATCAAGTATTTAGGATGTACATTCTCGGGAGAGCTACAGTTCAACGAAGATTCGGTGACCAAATTGAACGAAAATCTGAATAAACTGGTTACCTCTCCCTTGCTGAAGCCGGAGCAGAAGCTAAACATTGTCAACCAATATCTGTTCCCGGGTTTTACTTACCCTCTCCAAACTGCGCCCCTCACAAAGCTGCGTCCTGCCATACTTGACGGCATCGACACCATGATTCGAAGGAGTGTGAAGGCTATTGTTGGACTCCCTGTGAACACCTCCACGGCGATGTTGTACTCTCCCAGGAGGTATCGAGGATTAGGATTAATCCGCTGCCAATGGGAGGCTCCTCTACAACATTGGTCCATTGCTCAGCGACTGTCCAATGTGCCCGATGTCCTTTTTCAGTCGATCTTTGATTATTCGGCTGAGGTTGATGAATGTGCCGAGAGATTGGGGGTTGATCGGGGTATTCGGAATATGAGAGCTCTATGGCAGTTGCTTCGAGAAAATTCGTTTGAGGAATGGACCAATTGCAGGTGGCAGGGCATTGGAGTTCGCCATTTTAAAGAGACCCCGAAAGCCAATAAATACATGTATGATAAGCAAGTACTTTCTGGGTCTGAATGGTCAAATGCCCTGAAACTGAATATTAATTATGCACCCCTGCGTGGAGTCCCAGGTGTCAGCGGACAGGTAAGAGAAGTTGGGTCCCTCTGTCGCAAATGCGACAGAGAGCCAGAAACACCAGCACGAGTGCTTGGAAAATGCCCCAACAACTCCCTCCTTATAACGCGCCGTCACCACAGAGTCAAACATGAACTGATGAGGCTCCTTATAGAGAGAGATTACGCCTGTTTAGAGGAAGTATATTGTATAGATATGGATGGATCCACCCGATATGCCGACATTGTAGCATTCCCTAAGACGGGAAAGTCGGCGATGATTTTGGATCCGACCGTGAGATATGAGACCAACGACCTCGATCAGGCAGGAAAAGTGGAAAGGGAGAAAAAACAGACATATGAGAAGAGAAATGCATCCCTTTCCTTAGTGAAAAGTTCCGCGAGAGTTTCGGGCCGAGAGAGTTCCACATGAGAGGCCTTTGGTTCGGAGCTCGCGGAACGATACCAGACTCAACAAGGAGCTTCATGGGGGGCCTTGGTGTCGACATAAAGGACGTGGCAAGGTTGACAGAGAACATAATCCTTGACTCCCTGAGAATTATCCATCACCATGTGCATGGATAGAGAGTTTGTTCATGGGGGGAGGCATGCGTGTTTTACAGCATTTTTACATTATTTATTGACCACGTCCACTGCACTTTATGTTTTTGTATGCATGTTATGAATTAGGTTAGGAAAAGAGAGGAGAAAATCTAGGGAACGAGAAAAATGTATACAGTGAGAGAAAGAACAGAAAGGGATGTATAGTGCTAATAAATGAATTAAAGAAATAGTAAAAATAAAATAAATAAATTTAAAAAAAATAAATAAATAAATAAAAATATAGGAAAAAAATTATGATAAAAAAATATATATATAGATAAAAAAAAAAAAATGTATATTATGCTCATACATGTTGTTAATACTATATAATTGTATATTAGTTTTGGAAAATTGTCTGTAGTGATTAATAAGTATGCTGTGTTTAAAGCAACCCAATGTAATTGGGCAGCACCCTTTTATGATAATAAAGTGATTCTCTTCTCTCTCTGTGTTACTTGAGAACTGTATGAGTTTCTGCTCTGCTGTTTTTAATTGTTTCTTTAAAAAATTAAATAAAATGAAATATTAGACAGAAGTTTTTTGTTTGTCATGCTTATTTATCTGGAATATTAGTATGTGAATATAAAATGTATTGCTTTGTTTGTTTACCAAGTGTTTGTAAATGCTTGGGACTTGGGCAGGTGGTAAAATCTTGAATCAGATATTATAATCTTACATCTTATTAGAATCATATTCACATTACAAAAATATGGTTACTTTCGAAAATTCATAAACAAGTAAAAATATGCTTCCCCCTAACAAAGTTTTAACCCTGAAAAATGTGCTTCATTCAAAAATTTTATGGTGCAATTTGTGTCATGCCTACCCCCTTCAGGGTACCTGAGAGTTTAGTTTATTATTTCATTTTGTTTTCAGTTCTCCTTTCAATTCAAATGCTAATCAATCAACATAGCTCAATAACACCCTCTTTTGAACTGAAAAAATGAAAAAACACCAAAATAAAAGACAACTATAAAAATAGATTATACTTACGAAATGAATGCCACATCCACATGCCATGTCATATGGTGTAACTTACACTGCTCAATTCCAATGTTATCGAAAATATTGAAATGTATAATTTTCTATAGCATTAGAAACTAGGTGGCGTTATATAATGTTGTTGCCCATTTTTTCATTTGGAATAAATAAAAAGGAATGATCTACTTGAAAATGGATATATATAAAATATGAAAGATTTCGATAATTAACTAATGGAGAAAATGAAGAAATATTTTCACAGTTAAGCTCATATTTCCAGAAATAAGAGTAGTTATGTAGATGTTTAGTACACTATAGTTTATTTAGATGTAATAATAGTTTATTTTTGTAAACATAAAATATGATATTATTTACCAGTTTTGGTCATGGGTGATAATTACTTCTCGAAGAAGAAAGAATACAAAAAAGCTGCAGTATGGACCAAACCTCATTTTGTTTCCTGATGAGGAGGACCTGTTAGAAATATAGTGTTCTATAATTCAGTCAGTATTATAGTGTTTTCAGTGTTTTCGTAATTTATTAGCTAAAAGCAATATTTATAATAACGTCAAACAGTTTCTATGTTAAAGTATCAGTAGTAACTTACAAAATAATAAAAAAATATTGGTAAAAAACATTTTGGCCCCATGACCATGGCTAGTTCTTACTACAGCCATAACTTGTTCATTATGTCCAAAACTAATATCTATAGTTATTTGTAAAAAAAAATACAGAGGAAATATTAGAAAGGAAAGTAAGAACATTTGTCAATTATACACTTAATAAAGCAATCAGTATGAATCTAATTATATAACAAAAATATATGTGTATATGTTTAAAAAACAATGGAATCTGCATAGCAGTTAAAGTCTTATGTGAAACATAACGTTAAAATATTATTTATAAAAATATATCTAAAATTGTGGGATGATGGTTGACTGTAGTGAATAATTAAAGAAAAGGATGGTTGGGATGATCAGTCAAAATAAATAATAATTGCTTTTTTAAAAAATAAAATAAATTGAATAAATATTATTATTGATGTAGAGATGGTTGACCGTTGATATGATATGAGAAGGAGTTAGTCGAGGGTGCGGTCAAATAAATAAAAAAATTAAAATATATAAATAATTTTAATTTTTGCCGACGTTTCGACCCACTTTGCAGGTCGTCTTCAGGGCTACAAAAGATACAAACATGTTGAAAAAATAAAAATAAAATAAAAAATAAATATAAGTATATATAAATTACGAAGAAGTTGTCAGATACAGAAATAAAAGATAAAGAAAATAAATACATGATAAGAAAATAGATAAAAGAAAATAAATACATGAATGTTAACGAATAAATGAATGTTAACGAATAAATAGATTGAAAATTGAATAACTATTGTTACAGTAAAGTTAAAATAAGGATAAGATAACATAATAATAAGATATCAGTGGATAACAAGCAAGTGGAGGTTACCTTTAATTGTAAATAAACAGATAACGGGACTAAAGGTTAAGAAGTGAAGAAATTGAAAGATTAATAGGGTAACATTAGTGTAATATTGTTGGGATGGATTATTAAGTATAAATAACTCTATAAGAAAACAATAATTTTAAAAGAATACTTTAAAATGTAAGAATAAATGTAAAAACAAGGTTATGATGATAAAGAAACAAAAAACAGGTTGTACTATATACAGATGACAATTGACATTTAGTTTTTTGAAAGAGGTAATGGAATGGTAGGCTGAATGAAGATAATAATAGGGTGTATAGTTGAAGGATAGGTGTGTTAAGAAAAGAATCACAATAAAAGTAAAAACATACCGTAATTTGTGGTACTGCGGGAGGCAGTTGAAACACTGGCAGTGTCAAAAAACTCTAGTTAGGAGTGTCAAAAAAAAAATTTCGATTTTTACTCGAAATTTTTTTTGACACTGCCAGTGTTTCAACTGCCTCCCGCAGTACCACAAATTATGGTATGTTTTTACTTTTATTGTGATTCTTTTCTTAACAAACCTATCCTTCAACTATACACCCTATTATTATCTTCATTCAGCCTACCATTCCATTACCTCTTTCAAAAAACTAAATGTCAATTGTCATCTATATATAGTACAACCTGTTTTTTGTTTCTTTATCATCATAACCTTGTTTTTACATTTTAAAGTATTCTTTTAAAATTATTGTTTTCTTATAGAGTTATTTATACTTAATAATCCATCCCAACATTATTACACTAATGTTACCCTATTAATCTTTCAATTTCTTCACTTCTTAACCTTTAGTCCCGTTATCTGTTTATTTACAATTAAAGGTAACCTCCACTTGCTTGTTATCCACTGATATCTTATTATTATGTTATCTTATCCTTATTTTAACTTTACTGTAACAATAGTTATTCAATTTTCAATCTATTTATTCGTTAACATTCATTTATTCGTTAACATTCATGTATTTATTTTCTTTTATCTATTTTCTTATCATGTATTTATTTTCTTTATCTTTTATTTCTGTATCTGACAACTTCTTCGTAATTTATATATACTTATATTTATTTTTTATTTTATTTTTATTTTTTCAACATGTTTGTATCTTTTGTAGCCCTGAAGACGACCTGCAAAGTGGGTCGAAACGTCGGCAAAAATTAAAATTATTTATATATTTTAATTTTTTTATTTATTTGACCGCACCCTCGACTAACTCCTTCTCATATCAAATATTATTATTTATTTTTATTTTGACTGATCACTCCAACCATCCTTCTCTTCAATTATATCTAAAATTGTTTTCTGGCAAACTGTCCAAGATGATAGATCATTTGATATCAATCAACTTCCTTAACTGTAACCGTAACTGGTAATTTATCCGATGATTGCTGGACAAAAATATGCCTTTTTGAATAAATATGTCTTAATAGTTGGAGAGCTAGAAACTTTTTTATTTAGCTGGAAGATGTAAAGCTTTTTAGCTTATAGAACTCTTTTAGATTTATAATTTTTACCATTCTATAATATGAAATGGTAGTCAGTTACACCATATCCAGGGAGGGTTTTCAAGTCTAAAATTTGAATTTGTGATTCAAAAATTCACTTTTTGTGGTTTTATGGTAAACTTCAGGGAAACGGTTATGCTATGTTCTATCAGTAATTATGTTCTATATAAAATAATATGAATAAACAATATTTGTCCTCATAATTCACGATCTGAGATGTAGGGATATCACTAATTACCTTCACCCGAGCACTATTAATAGTTGCTAAGTGCGGGTAAATTATGTAGATGTAAATAATGATATGAAAGGTTTTTATTCTTGGAAATAATAAAATGTTGGCAGAAAGATGGTTTAAGGTTGTGGAAAATAATGATTTATATTTTTGGAAATAATGCCAGTGTATGAATTTAGAATAAAAGTGTTAGATATAAAATTTTATGCTCCATGATTTTTTATTTATTAATTAACTTAGTATATTAAAAATTTGATGACTATGTTTTTAATTTATTATTTATTACTTTAGGTCCTCGTCATAATTACACTGATTTGCAGAACTTTAGGAAATCTAGATTTAATAGAATACAAAGGCATTATGACAATGTTTGGCTATGGCGAGATATAAATATTGGACCTCATGGTAGATATATTTTTGAAGTAGATGTCCCACAACGTCCAGCTCATTGGATGGTTTCAGCTTTTGGTATGAGTCCTAACTTAGGATTTGGAATGCTTCAACATCCTATTGAAGTAATGAATTTTCTTGTTTAACTGCATTTTTATCATACAATAATTTAGTATCTGCATTTTTAGTGGTGATTAAATAACACTACCTATTATTGCTTGTGTCTTACTTCATGATTGCTTACAATTCACAGATTGCGTAGTTAGGAAAATGAAAATTATTGCTATAAATTGAAAATCTCTATTCATCATCATCATAATCCTTTCTCTCTCAACCGCTATGCAGTGTGGGGATGCCCTCTATAGAGCCGGACCCAAGTGTCCCTTTCATGTGCCAGTTCTCTCCTATTCCAGTCCAACCCTTGCTTCCTGTACGCCCTCTTCCCAGGTGTGAAGATCCATGGTCTTCCTCTTGGTTTTCTTCCGTCCACTCTTGTCTCATTTGTTATCCTTACCATTCTTTCCATGCTCATCCTTGGATCATGATTTACTCCTGGAGGTGCCCAAACCATCTTAGTTTATTCTCTTCTAGAGTAGTTTCTCAGACATCGACGTAGTCACATATATTAAACTTGCCAGATTAAGGTGGGCAGGGCATGTGGCCAGAATGTGCACCATTGAAATACCCAAGAAAGTAATGATGGAGGATCTGCACCTCGCAAGACGGGTAGGAAGGCCGAGGACGAGATGGTTGGACCATGTGGCCTATTACGCGAGAACCCTGCTTGGCGTACGGAACTGGAGAGCTGCAACAGAAGACAGAGCCAACTGGCGGAGACTCTTGGTGGAGGCCCAGTCTCGGTAACGGGATGTCGTGCCACATATGATGATGATGAGCAGTTTCTACCACTTGTACCTCGAGGTTTGATGTTATTGTTGTGTTGCGGATCCTATCTCTTCTGGTCTTTCCCTCTAACTTTTCTTAGGTATTTCATCTCCATTGTCTGGATCTGCCCTTTATGTTTTGTGGTAAGGGTCCATGATTTGGAGAAACTCCAACAGCCAGGATCTTTCCTTTCCTATAGAGTTCACTCTATATACTCCTTTTTTGAATCTGTCAAATGCATTTCTAGATCCACGAAGCAGTCAGGAAGTTCTTTCCCTTTCTCTATGGCCTGCCTCAAAGTGAAAATCAGAAACTGTGTACTTCTCCAGTTTCTGAATCCATACTTCTCTCTGATCTGACAGTTGGTCAGTCTTCTTACTCTTGCTTCTAGAATTCTAAAATATAGCTTGCTTAGCACACTGAGCAGAGATATGTCTCGATGGTTGTTGCATTCTCTATTTTGTCCCTTGTTAATCGGCACTACCACAGCGATCTCCCTATTCTTCGCTATCCTTTTCTTATGCCATATCAAATTTAAGAGATGGAGAAACATTTCTTCACCTTTGTTACCCATGTATTCCATCCTTACTTCTTCTTCACATCATCGGTCCACCACAGATTTCTTTTAAACCCAGATAAACTCATATGTTCGCTCTACATACCAGTCTATCAGGATTGAAGATGATTTTCTTGAATGATGACCAGCTCTGCCTTATGTCATCACTATCCAACAGGTGATCCGAATCTCGTGCCATCCTATTAATTTCTTCTTGGAAGTATTGGGCCATTTCCTCTTCTTTTAGCTTGTAGGACTTTATTATCTTCTTCGTACCATTCTTATGCCTTTTCTGAGAAACTTCCTCATTCCACAGTTTGTCCAGCATTAAAAGGTAGTGATCGCTTCCAATCTGATATAATCTTTTGACTCTTGCATCCATAACTTCATAATCTTTTCTATGCATCAACATTTTTTCTGAAACCTATATTTTTATTTAAAAAGAAGTATTCTAATATTAAATAAAATTTCTACATTTGAAACAAAAAGTCACATTTAAAAAAATATAAAATGTAATTATTATTATTAAGGGCTCTTACTTTAAATTTATAAAAATGTATTCTGACAAAATAAAAAAAATACACAATACTCACAATATTTTTGAAGATATAAGAACTTGAAAATTTAAGTCTGATATAGTCCCCATAAATACACTGAAATTAGAAAACAAATTTGTGTTAACAACATGAGTTTGATTCCAGAAGAAATATAAAAAAATTTCTTATGTAGTGTGTAATTTTCAATTTAATTGTCTTTTTGATATGATCCCTACTCCTTATCAAAATTGATAAGTTAAAATGTAAATTCTGATTAAAGCGAAGTGAGTTGAAAAATATTCGGTATCAGTACAAGATGTTGTCTCTTCTATACTAATATTATTTAATTGAAATCACTTGTTTCCACGGAAATTAAATGAAATTTCCTATCTAATTGTAAACTCTTAAAATTATTTTTAAGTTAAAAAAAAATTATATAAAATCTTCCAAATCAAGGCAATGACATTAGTTAAAAAACTATTTCATTGTATTTGTGTGAAAGAAGAAGTGAAATATTTCATTAATGTGTAAAACATCTGTTTATAACCGTAAATACATTTACTGTAGGCTAATTGCTTCAGATTTGATATTATATTTGAATAATTAGGTATATATCGTCCATTTATTCCAAAAAATCATGTAACCTTTTAGTAAATTAAATTAGCCACTTACAATTAGTGTGACATGTGACAAATTTTAATCTATCTATGGCAGGCTATCAAAATTTCATAACTCCATTTCTGCCTTATTAAAGATTACCCAAGACCTCCAATCATCCATTGACAAAGAGAAAATCTCCATCCTAGTCCTTTTCGACTTTTCAAAAGCTTTCGACTCTGTCAATCATAATATCCTCATTTCTAAACTCCAAACAAAGCCTACCCATATCGAATAGTGTTCTGAAATGGTTCCTCTCTTTTTTATCCCATTGCTCCCAGACAGTTGTTATTCCTGCCAAATCTCCTTCCTTGTCTCCTTAATTAACACAAGGTGTTCCTCAGGTATCCTCACTCTCTCCAACTCTGTTCTCCATTTATATTAGCGACCTTCCTGACTCCATTAGTCATTCACACTATCACTTATATGCAGACGACCTACAAATCTATTTATCGTTCCAACCATCTGAGATGCCCGAGGCTATCCGAAAACTACAAGAGGATATTGGCTGTATCCATAGGTGGGCGGAAAAAAATAAACTAAAGCTTATCACAGACAAAACCAAGGCAATCCTAATCGGCTCCAAGCACCTCATTAGTTCCCTTTCTTTCTCTCCTTTACTTTAACTCAATAACCGTCCCATCCATTTCTTTCTGACAGTCAAAAACCTTGGAATGACCTTTGATCAGAACCTCTCTTGGAACAACCACATTTCCCAGATTACTCATAAATCCATAACTATCCTTAAACAATTCCTTTGATTCTGTGATTCCATTCCAAAAAAAAAACCAGACAGCTCCTTGTAACATCCTTTGTATTCCCCCACTTTGACTACGGTTGCCTGATGAGCGAAGGGCTGTCCACAGAACTGGAGGTGAGACTGAAGAAAATTATGAATTGCTTTCTAAGATTCATCTTTGGGATTCCCAAGTTTTCTCATATTTCTTGTTGGTACACCGAGTTGAAGTGGCTATATCCCACTTCCTTCTTGTTGTTTTTCTTTTTCAAGTTCTCAGAAGCAAAAACCCTCCCTACATCTTAGAATTCCTTACTTTATGCTCCTCTATCCACTCTCTCAATACCAGATCTCAACCTATAGATTTATATATCCCCTCCCATAAAACGATTTCCTTCAGTAAATCCTTTGTCATTCATGCTAACTCCTTATGGAACTCCTTCTTACCCATCTCCATATGTCAAACTACGTCCATAAACTCCTTCAAACAACTCCTATTCCACCACCTACTACAAATTCAAACTTCCGCAAGCTTGTAAAAATTTCTGAGTTATATAATTACGTTGCTCACTGGCAGTTAATTGACAAGTCATTTTATTATTATTTATTAATTTTTTATATCTCAGTATTTATTGTATATATCTGTGTTTATCTTTGTTTATCGTATTTATTTTTTGTAGATATTTATATTTTCCTTTGTATTTTTTTTTTATATATTTGTATTTTCTTAAGTATCTTTGTGTGTACAATTTCCTAGGTATTTTTTGTATATATTTGTATGATACTTACATGCCAGACTAATGTACATATTTTTTAAACTCTACTATTATTCTAAGTGAACTTCAGTCCCAGAAAAAAATTATTTTTCATTCATTCATTCATTTATTGTTCACAAACATATACTTTCAAAGTTATAACAAAGTGATAATTACTAAGGTTAGAACAAAGTGCTAATTGATTTAAAATATGTTCAGTTGGCAAATCCTACACTTCTCCCCACCAAGGATCAGATTCTTGGGAAGTGGAAAGAGCTTCTGCATCCAGAAGTGCTTAAGCCACAGCCCTCTGTTGAAGACATAGTCGGTCGTTATGCTTCCTTTTCGTTCCGCCCCCCACATCGCACCTTGTAGGAGTGTTCCGTGGTTCTCTCTTCTACTCCGGGTCTCCAACCTTTAAATTTCTCGTTCTTGAACCAGACTTCATGACCAGGCAGGAACTCACTAGGCATCATTTTTAAATCATGATACTGCTTCTGTTGCCATATTCTGTTTTCCACTACTTCTCTGAAATCCGGCCTCATTTTATCAATAACTGTTGGTAGTTTTCTTCCCATAAACAGAAGAGATAAGAACAACCAGTATTTCTTTTGAGGATTGTTTCTGTACGCAAGTAACACATGCTAGAGAGCTAATGTTGTGTTCAACCCCTCCTTTTTACATAAACTGTATCTTATTTTGAAGGATTTAACCAATCGCTCTACTAAACCATTTGCTTTAGGATGGTTCCTGTCACATGTCTAATGTTGTTTTCTTCACAGAAATCAGAAAACTCTTATGACCAAAACTGGGGACCATTGTCAGATACTATCTGTTTAGGCACACCATATCATGCAAACCATCCGCTAAGCCGATTTATCGTAGCTTCCTTGGTTTTTCTATCCATTATTTCCACCTCAGCCCACTTTGAGAATACATCTATGCCTAGTAGCCAATGTTGACCTTCCAGTGGTCCAGCAAAATCCTGATGCAGTTTCTGCCATGGCCCACTTGTGATGTTCCAGGGATAAAGAGGGACCTCTTGTTCATCATCCCTACTGCTCTGACAAGGGTAACAACGTCTAACGAACGTTTCTATGTCTTTGTCAAACTCCGACCACCAGACATAGAACTGACTGAGCGATCTCATTGCCGCGATGCCCGGATGACCTGCATGAAGCTTTTGAGAACACTGTAGCAAAGTTTCTTGGGTATCACCAATCGTCCAAGTCCAATTTTTACTCCTCCTTCTATGTTTAATTCCTCTTTTTTCCTCCAAAAAGGTTTCAAGTCATGTTTTAAATCCTTCAGATCTTGCAGCTAGCCGTAACGATATAGCTCATTACCTACCTGTTTTAATTCGGTATCGTTTTCAGTTGCTTTTTTCAAATTCTGATTAGGTGTAACGATATAGATGTATCTCTTTTTCTTCATCACCCTCTGTTGTCACACATAAAAGTAATATTGACATGATACGTGAAAATCTGGTATGATATTTTCACTTCCAATCTTTTACTTTATTTCAAAATCATACTCCAGAAGTAATATGCCCACATTATCAACCTGTTGCTCGCAATTCTTGAGAGATCTTGCACCGAACCAAATATCCTCTCTAAGGGCTTATGATCAGTAGTCAGAATAAACCTCCGTCTCATAATGTATTATCTATATTTCCATACAACAAAGATTATTGCCAATGTTTCCCTGTCTACTGGAGAATATTTCTTCTCTGCAACGGAGAGTGACCGCGAGCCATATGCTATCGCCATCAAAGATTTGTCTGCCATTTCATGCAGTAAGAACACCCCTAATACATGATGATGCGTCACACGATAGTGTAACTGTTTTTTCAGAATCATATAGAATCAATGTAGAAGTGCCAGACAGTGAGCTCTTTACCTCCTCAAAGCATTCTTCTTCCTGCTGTGTCCATCGCCAGTGTGTCTTTGTTCCAGTAAGTCTATGAAGTGGGATATATATTAATTGTGGGACAAATAGCATGAAGCTTTGGAATAAAACGCTAATAGAATTTAATTGCACTTGAAAATGTTCTTAGTTCTTTCACATTTTGTGGGCATAGCGCATTCTTTATAGCAGCAATTTTTTTTTCGGATGAACTCCCAGCTTATCAACCCGTTGTCCCAAGTAGTTCACTGATCTCTGAAAAAACTGACATTTTTTTAGCTGTGCACGTAAGCCAGCATTAGCCTCAAAACTTCTTTTAAAGTACTTAAGTGAGAATTTTTATCCCGTCTGCTTATTATGAAGTCATCTAACAGGATGCCAACATTTAACCACACATTAAATTATCCATAAACCATTGGAACTTAGCTGGACTCTACGATAATCCAAATGGCATTCTCTTGTAGTTATAACCAATGGGTCATCCCATATGGGTAGCTATAACCAAATACTTCCTACTCCCTGGGTCCACTTCCACTTGGATGTATGCATTGGAGCATTACACCTATCATTGATATAACAAATAGGGTTTTTATTATTTTTATGGCCTTAAGAGTTTTAGGTGTAAGCTTTAAGTTTTAGCTCTTGTCAAAAATGTTTTAATAGCCCAACAATTGCTATTCAAAGTAGAGCAGTAAGTGAAGGTTATGTATTGGGCGCACCGGATTTTTATTATAACATAATACATAGATTATATTACATATGTTAGAATACTATATAGAAAACTTGGGATTTGTGTGTATTAATAATGTATTTATAGTTTGTTAAAAATGGTCAATCAACAAACAAATTATGCTGTTCTTACTGTAAAGTTTTAATCTAATATATCTTTGTTAATATTTATATATTTCATCTTGAAGCTATCAGTATTTTAAAATTTATATTTTTTTCTTTTTTGCTTTAGTATATAGGTGTACTTCCATTTTATATAAATGTTGAAATGCCTCCAGTATGTACTCAAGGTGAACAAGTTGGTGTTCGTGTAACAGTTTTTAACTACATGACCAATGACATTGAAGCAGTTGTTGTACTTGCTGGATCAAATGATTATAAATTTGTTCATGTTGAAATGAATGGAATTGTAAGTTTAACATTATTACTTCCAATTATTGTTTTATTATCTTTATAAATATATTTTATTATCATTAATTTTTAGCATTAGTTATTGTGCTGTTTTATATTATTTTAAATTTTCAATAAAAATGGTTGTTCGAATAATTAAAAAAGGAAAAAAATATTTTTTTAAATTTCATTAAATGGAGTCAGAAAATGCTGGCAATAAAAATAATAATTGAATAATATAAATAAAAAGAACTAATAAAAATTTGGTTATTGTTAAAATATCCTATCCAAAGCCTTTAGTCTGAAACAGTTGTTAATAGACCAAACAGGTAGACAGGTAGACCAAACAATGAGTGTGTTTGAGTTTGCTAAAATTGTGTACTGCGGTTTCTCTTCTGATTGTTGTCCATGATGTCCTTCTGAATAGGAACCTGTATGTTGCCCCCTCAGAATGTAGTATCCTTCAGGTTTAGGCTGTTAAGATTTTAAAAACTTCAAAAGTTTTTTAATAGCCGACCTATCCCTTTAAAATTCTTCAATCAGCAATTTGTCAGTCAAGTTAATGTTGAGCGAGCCTTGAGACATAGTGTCATCTGGCAGCATGTAAATACTGTGTATCATTATTTAGTCAAAATTAATATTTACCAACAGTGGAAGGGTTGTGTTCCTTATTCAAAAGTTTGAATAAGGAAAGGATGAAAAATGGTCAGGATGTGCAGTCAAATAATTATGTTTATTTAGCTTGCTGACATTTACAGTTAAAGTTAGAGTATTATTTTGTCTTTGGAAATCCTATGATGTGACTTTTTGTGAATAGTAAAATCAACATCCCAACTTGTGTTAATATTCATGCCTAAATAAAAGTTAAAGTATATTTAATTTTATTCTCTGATTTTAAATATAATCTTCTGTTTTATCCGGAGAAACTCCTATGGTCCCCATATCCATTCACTTTGCTTTAAGAGTTTTAATTTTCTTATTTTCAAGAGAAAAAGCAATAGCGATATTAACAAAATTTAAATTGTATTTAAATGAAAAATTATACCTAAATAATAATTAATGAAATAAATGTGTGTTCGATCTTTTGTATTTTCCTCTTTATATATTGTTGATATTGATTATCCTGAACATGAATTGTTTTCTTGAAAACTAATGTTACTGCGAGATACAGCTTAAAAAATACCCAACAATCAAGCACCATATGTTCGGCACACAAAGTTTAAATAAGGTGCCAATTCTTCAGAAATTTTGTTGTAAGGCACTGAATATAAAAAATTGGGAATTTTTTTTATGAATAATAAATTTGATGATTGCAAAAAATGGTCAAATTTGAAATTTATGTGAACAATTGAGGAAAGTTCTATTCAGCTAGATTACTCTATCTTATAAAGTAAGGAAAATAAGTGGGGTTACATTGTTTGAAGGACACCATTGCAAAACTCCGTGTTCGATTTGTTTACTCTACTTTCTTAATTTAAAAAAATATGAAGTAACAAAGATTCTCAGAGTTGAAATGTGCTTAATTTAAGACCAAAAACTCCAGAAAATGATTCATGGTTGAATTAGAGAGATTCGACCAATACCGTCGTTTTGAGGCATCTTTTCCCCTCGTGTCTTCTGAGGTGGCAGCTCGCAGTTTCTTGGTCAGTTGGACATCCTGGACAAGAACCACAAGAGAAAATGCAGAGCAAAATTTTTTATTACTTAATTCTACTGATACTTTAGAGAAGTGCATTAGAAACTTAAGATTTGTTGCACAATTTCTTTTACAAAAATCCTATTGTAAGTTAATAATTAGCAGTATACATTATCTAATAAATATCCTCTACAAATCTGTAGTAATAATGTTGAAGATATTTTCGAATTTTAAAAAAAAGAGTTTAATTTGAAATGGTAAGGGTAACATTTTACTTAAAATGGGTTTTATTTGATTTTGAAAGGGCTTAGAAAATTATTTGGCTTTGCTTAGGAAATAGTACATTTCAAAAACTCATCCACAAATTAAAGTATCTCTAAAATATAAATTTATTATAAAAAAATTTTAACAAAAAGAATAAACACACAATTTTAGTGAACAAAGTTTTAGATAAATCATTACAAAAGAGATTATTCAGAACAGTCTAATATAACTTGAACTCCATTTAACCATTCTCTATAATTGATTGTACAGATAATTGACGCTCTAGTGTATTAAGATCAGATACATTCATATCCTATAAAAAAAAAAAATAAAGGAATATTCGCCCCATTACACAATGAAGGGATGCAACTATTATTATTTTTTTTTTGTGAAACACAACTTCATTTTGGTTATTTATTGTATATCCAGTGAGATTCTTATTTGATTTTTGTGCTAACATAGAAACACATACTTTCTAACATTATATGTTCCATTATTTTCACATTGCAATAACTCTGTAATGGTTGCATATATTTCTATGCATACCATCTTGCCACATAACGCATATTGAAATACATGGTTGAAGGAGCATAATACGTATACATTTCAATTGTTAACATTATGAGAAAATAAATAAATTATTGTAATAAAAGAAAAGTTATTAAATATAACAATCAAATAACTAAAGATAAATAACAATAGTAAGAAATTTGGTATTAAATAACAATATAAGTAGACTATTTACAATAGAAAAGTAGTATAACAAAATAAAAAAATAATTAAATTTATTGGAAAGGGATTAAGAAGAGAGAGAAATACTTTATTTAAAGCAGTGCTGCCCTACTATATAGGGCTGCTTGATACGCAGCATACTCATCAATCCTTTTTTATTGGACATACAAATTATATACAAATTCTTTTTCATATTACACAGCACAAACAATATCAATACTATAATATACTAATACATACAATTACAATTATACATATATTACATATACATCTTTCGGTTAAACCGATACAAGAAAATTTCTATAATTTATAGGGCTAAAAAAAGATATGTTATTCGAATGCCAAAGTTTTAACACCAGAAAATTAGAGCGCACACACAGCAAGTAACATAGTCATATATATGAACATAGACATATATGACTACATAGATGATGTACTAGCGGGGAGCCCTATGATCGCCTTGATACTCCTGCGGATATTTACATCAATTCTCTCCAATAATGCAAGCCGTATCTAAGGGGCGCCATCTGGAGAGGGTAGGTAAGTCCCGGGAACACATATTGATTAACTACATTGGTCTTTTGCTCCGGTTTGAGAAGGCAAGGGCTCACCAGTTTATCCAAGTTGTCTTTAAATTTTTTTGTCTTTTCCTCATTTATTACTAGCTCTCCCAAGAAAGTGCATCCTAAATATTTTATTATATCATCTGCCTTTGATGTATGAATGAATGACTTCTCCGTTCTCAAGGGAGAGCTTTGTTTGTTGCAGCTCTCCTTTATCCATTATTAGGCCCACGATTTTCTTCGGATTAATACCTAGATCAATCTCGGCGAGGATCCTCTGTATACAATTAATTATCCTTTCTGCAGCACCCTTGTCGCGTGCTGAAACAGCCTGGTCTTCTGCGAAGCCTGTGAGGACCACACATTCTTGGTCGCTAGTGAGCTTGTATCTTGTGTGGATTCGACACTTTTCCAGCACCCTTTCCTGCCATATTAGTCTTATTTTTCTTTCTTACCTTATAAAATTCATTATTTGCATTTTTCAATTCAATATATTGCAACAATATAAGCCCAATATTTACAATGGAGTATAATACAATTTATTATAACAATGGATATAACAATAAATATTAATTTTATAATATTTTCATTTTATTTATGCAGTGGAGAAATAGTCATTTATATTTCAGTTTTCAACTAATATTTTTTTAAATTGATTATAGGTTAGATCTTATAACCCTCGTACTTCTTATGGCGAACACCAATTTTTTGTATACATAAAAGCTCAAGATGCTGCTGTTGTTTATCTACCAATAGTCCCCACAAGATTAGGTGATATAAAAGTAAAAGTTATGGCTTCAACTCTAATTGGGAAAGATATCATCACCAGAAATTTGCATGTATTGGTAAGTAACTTATGTAAATTACTTCAAATATTTTCTATTTATCTTATTCCTGGACTTCAAATAAGTAAAGAATCGGTATTGAATGATGAAGATGTCAGCTTTGGTCTTTTAAGCTGCTATTTTGATATTTTGATTTTAATACCCTCCTCTTCTTACCAAGAGTTGGGTAGTGTATTATTATATATAGCTATTTTGTTTTTATAGTTTGATCGAACTTCGAAGTTATTGTTCAAGTATTGTCTTGCATTTCTGTGACATAAAAGCTATCAATCAACTGGTATCTCCATAAAAACTGATTTTTGAATACATAGTAATAGGAAAAAAGTTGACTCTAAATTATATCAATATATATTTTCTTTTTTATATTTTCAAGTACCATATTTTAAATAGGTTATGATGCAAAAAAGTGCTGCTTAAACTTCATGAGGTAAAGGGTCAGTAATAAAAAGAAGAGGATTCTAGATTTTTATGAAACCTTTTTAAGCAAATCTAGGCCTCAAAATGTCATACTACAAATATTAGGATTATCATGCACTCAGAGTGAAAAAAAAACAAAACAAAGAAGTTCACTAGTACAAAACACATTTTAGTTTGTATCTCTAGTTCCAATAATGGTATATGGACCTTGAATAAGTTCTCTCTCCCTGTTTCTTAACAGTTGGCAGCACCTAAGTGTGGTTCATTTCAGAAGGTAACACAATTTTGATAAAGTTTGACTACGAAGAATTAGAGAAATTACTTAATGAAGACCCATATCGGAGGCTAGCTGAACTTGGAAAATCATAACTAGTAGATTACACAGCGGTTTTGAAACAAATGAAAGCATAAGGAATGATCTAGAAGCAAAGACATTGGATGCTGTATGAATAGAAGCATTGAGACATAAAACTACTTTTTTTCACTTGTGGAATGCTGCTTCACTGGCAGAAAAGGAAAGGTTTTTGCATTATATCATGACTAGCGATAAAAAATGGAAACATCAAGATAATCTTAGGATTAAAAAATTGTGGAGTAAGCCCTATCATGTGTCAACATTATCTGTAAAGCCAAATATCTATGGTTTGAAGCTTCTCTGCATTTGGTGGTGGGATCAGCATGGTTTTATTTTTTAATCTCTGAGCTGCTCAAACTAAACAAAACTATATCTCGGATATATCATTATAGACTACAATTGATGCATTTGAGCTGAGTCTTAAAGGGAAAACAGCCATTATATGAGTACGACAAGGTGATTTTATTCTATGATAACACTTGGCCACATGTTGCAAAGCCGGTAAAAATCTTCCTGGAAATACTTAAATGAGAAGTCCTGCTCCACCCACCTTATTCATCAGTTATAGCCTATTTCGATTATATGCCAATGTTCATTCATTCATTCATGTATGGCACAACATCCCGTCACCGAGACTGGGCCTCCTCCAAGAGCCTCCGCCAGTTGGCTCTGTCTTCTGCTGCAGCTCTCCAGTTCCGCACACCAAGCAGGGTTCTCGCATCATAGGCCACGTTGTCCAACCATCTCGTCCTCGGCCTTCCTACCCGTCTTACGAGGTGCAGCTCCTCCATCATTATTTTTTTTGGTATTTCAAGGGTGCTCATTCTGGCCACATGCCCTGCCCACCTTAGTCTGGCCAGTTTAATATACGTGACTACGTCGATGTCTGCATAGAGAGAACTGAGCTCCCTATTTTTTCTTTTCCTCCAGACATCACCCTCCTTTACTGGACCATAAATCCTTCTGAGGACTCCTCGCTCAAAGACACTCAGCTTCATCTCATCCCTTTTGGTCATCGTCCAAGCCTCTGAGCCATATGTCAAAACAGGCCGAACAAGGGTCTTGTATATGATCAGCTTGGTCTTCTTTGAGAGGTACCTACTTCTTAAGTGTCGGCCAAGTCCAAAGACACATCTATTGGCCAATGTTCGATGGCATTAATATTTTTTATATTTTTGTAATTGGAAAACTGTTGAGATAATCTATTTTTTTAAAGATTTCTTGAATTAAAATTTAATCCAAATTCCATCGTTCCTATCTACATGTAATTGTATATTTTTTGCATAAAAAATTAATTTAATTGTTCATATTTGTATTCTTGTTAAGTTTATTGTAATAGTAAAGACCAAAGTTAAGTTTTGTTAGTCCAATAATTTAAATTTTATTTTTTTATGATTTCTGTCATTTTAGGAACATAATTTATTCTGAAGAATGTTTAGTTGTTCTGGGTTTTGTTTTATATTTTCTTCTACTATTATCATAATTTTTATAAATATTAGCATCCTTATGCTAAAAATAATAAGTAATTATAATTGAAAAAATTAAATAAATCAACGCACAGTGGCATAATCTTAAAATGGAGATTATTTTCAAAAACTAACATTATAATACCAAGATATACGAAATTGTAAATAGATATATATGCACAACTTGATCGTAATCTCGATATTAACCTTTTACACGCTGCCCCCTAATTCCAGTCGAATTTTTTTTTTTTTTCTGTAATATTGGTCTCAATATGGTTCAGTTTAGATACTTCCTAAAAAAAAATTAATTTGTGCTTTTCCAACTTGTTCCAGAAGTAGAACAATGGCAGGTTCAGGTTATACAAAAGAAATTTTTCTTTAATAGTTTTATTAGAATATTCAATACAGAATAGTGTTGTTTTTAATAATATTGATAAAAAATTATTATATTATAGTAAAACATTATAATTATTAGTTAAATAATAGAAAACACGTATGTAAGAATACGGAATAAATAAAAATTGTTATGTTAATATAGGATTTAGAATCCGTGATGTTTGAGAAAACAATCAATATCAAGCGTTTCTGGCATTCTTTGCATTGATATTTTGTGTTGGTGCCACAATGAATACACCTCCTTTGGTAAGCCGAAATGATATAATGTACTCCTGCCTTACGCCTCTTGGTAGGACGGATGGAAGTCTTCGGCCCTGTCCGCGGACCATCTTTCTGCTGTAAAGCCCGCATTACCTAATTATTATAAAATGTGATTAAGCAACGCGATGCAGTCAGAACACAGTAATGATTGAGAAAACTGAAACCAAAGGATGTTTGGCATATTATTGGAAATAATATGTGTTCTAAGAAACTAAAAAAAAAATACACAGTTTTTCTCTATCAGTTAGGAATTATACAAAAAAAAAACTCAAAATATCAATTAGTTGTTCTTTGAATTTCCATGTGCATTTTTATAGTAAGAAAACAAGGTTGGAAACAATGAATAGAACTAACATTTCTATAGTGTAAATCTGCCAGTGTTCCATACGTGGAACATTAAAATTAAAATTAGTAAAACTGATTCTTAGAATTTTTTTATTTATATTTTCTACTATGCTTTATTTTGAGTGTGATCTATCAGAATCAACTAAATCAATATTCAAATTAAATTTCATTGCCGTATCGTTAAAACAAACAAAAAATAATCAATACACCTCTCGGCAATAAAAAACCGGAAACTTTAACTTTTTATTTACCCTACTAAAAGTGATAAAATCTTTATTGAAAAAATTTAAATGAATTATGCCAACCTTTATTTTGATGGAAAAAAATTGTTTTGATACTGATATAGTTGGCCAAAAAAATTGTTTAATATATGTTCCACTTCTCAAACAATGGCATGTAAAAGATTAAACAAAGAAACCCAAAATATGGTATCAGCAGTGAGCTCAACAATTTAAAGTCTGTATTAATAACCAATATTAGTGTAATTAGAACATGGGTACATCTATTAATATAACTCTTATATTTAGCTACGGACATCTGGCACATGAAATTGTAATTTTTTATCTAATATATGAATTAGAAAGCACTGAGAAAAAGTGATGTTTAAATTTTATATGGTCATAATTTAATTTTATTCTCCTCAATCATGAAGGGAGACCATGACTAAGTACTGAACATTGGGTAGTTCAGTATTTGCTTAAATTACTGAAGACTCGTTAATCATGTTAGCATTTGCCTATTTTTGTCCAAGGCCCACTTGTGGGTTGTAGTGCTATATGCAATAATAATATTTATTATAGTAGTTATGGTTCAATTATTTTACTGTAGATATGCTTAGAATGGCTCTAGACTTTAAAAAAAATATTTTTCCCTCATTTTTAATTTGCATTGTTTTTAATTCTTTAAAAGTATTAGTATACTTTTTTTTAGGCTGATGGACTTCCCCAGTACCGGCATCAATCTATTTTATTGGATTTAAGCAATAGAGCTTATATCTTCCAGTACATGCACGTTAATGTTACTGACACCCCAATCATTCCATATGATGAAGACAGGTACTATATTTTTGGATCCAATAAGGCTTTTGTATCTGTCGTTGGAGATGTAGTTGGACCTATATTCCCTACGATGCCTGTAAATGCTTCTTCTCTTTTACATTTACCAATGGTAAGTTTATTTATTAAACATATAAAGTTAATTTCTTTATCAGTCTCACAACAATCCATGAAAGAATTAGTGTGAGGTTAATTTTGTTTTCTTTGTGCCTTTAATTAGTTTTTAATGTATTCAGGCATGAAATATTGTAGCCATATTAAAACTTTTGAAATAAATCTAAGACAAAATAATCAATTATTAGCTTATAGCACGAATGATTGTATAAATAGAGAAATGGATCCTGAATTTGTTCTACATAACAGATCGCACAATGTCAGTTTTCATCAAAACTCTATCTCTCTCTCTCTCTCTCTCTTTATATATATATATATATATAGAGAGAGAGAGAGAGAGAGAGAACTTCTTGAAAAAGAAAAAATCTTGAGTGTATGACATAAATTATTTTCATCGACTTTCATTGCAGAATCTCTCTCAGAAGTCTAAATGTTTTTTTTTTTTTTTTTTGTTTTTTTCTCATATAAATCCTTTTTGTAAATTTTTTCTATTACATAGTAATAATTGTGCTCTTTCAAGAAGTTATTATGCATTTTGATCTTTTGTCGCCAAAATTAATTTAATTAATTAAAATAAATTATTATTTTCTTCTTTTTATATTCCAATTAAAATTATGTATTTTAATGTTTGTTCTAAACTGTTTTGGGAATAAATAACGAAATAAAAATGATTTTAAATATTTATTCATTAATTTAGACAACATTGTTATAAAATATAAAAGTTATACTAGAATTTAGAATTTCCCTAACTTATTATAAACTATGAGTAATTATCTAAATTATATTATTTGTTCTAAAATATTGAAGTATTAGTTATAGTCCATGGTACAAGACCCTTTTTTATCAAATTATTAACATCCACCTGAAACTTTGTAAATAGCTTCATATCATGAAACAGAATAAATAATTTTTCTGCCATGAGCCAGGATTCGAACCTGGGACCTTGAGCATTGGAAGCTTAGTGCCCTACCACTGAGCTACCCCGCACCCTTTTAATTAAGTACTAAAAACTCATAAATACCCATTTGCTTTTCGCTTGAATCATAAGATAATTTGATCACAAAATTTATAAAAAAAGGTGGCATTCAAAAATATTAGGCCGTTTGGCTTATATAACCTTGTTATTTTGATAATTTGGGGATGTAGGTCACGCCAAACTGCTCAATATTTTTGAAGGTCACCTTTTTTCCTGAATGTGCTCAAGTTATCTAACAATACAAGTGGAAAATAGATGTATATTTACGAGTTTTTAGTACCTAATTTATTAGACAAAGTTTGCCGACCTCCAGATTCAAAATGCCCTAATTCTGAGAATTTTCGTAAGTAAAATATTTGTAAGTTACGCTGAGATGAAGCTATTTAAGAAGTTTCAACCGGATGTTAATAATTTGATAAAAAGAGCTTTGTACCACGGACTATTACTACTAATCTGTAATGCAATATTTACAGATTTATGTGATAATTCAGGAAAAGTACCAAATAAAGCCCTAATATTTCCAGATATATCACAAAAAACTTTTAATTATTTTAAAATATCAATTATTTAATGTTGATGCTTTATTTTCAAAAATTACCAAATGATAATGAAAATAAAAAATTATGAATGGTTATAAATCTCAATCACTTTAATCAGGCATGATCATTGATTAAAATTTTTAATTCAATAAACTTCTATTGACATGTGATTATGTGGCCATGTTCAAATTTATCCTCAATGTTAGAATTATTTCTTCTATCCTTGACCATGCTCTTAAACAGTATGATATGAAGTTATACATCAGTCTGCAGAGAGTAGAAAAACATTTATAGAGGCTTTTGCACAAGCTTACTACATATTTTCCTCAGACTTATTCCTTTGTTATGCTCCTTAAGAGATCCTGGTTAGACTTCAGTCTGATGACACTCTCACAGGCAGATTTGAAATCTTTGATGAGGTGACTGGTCACAATCCTTGTATTTCTCTAAGATTAATCTCATTGTGAACGGCATTACAGGTATGCCTCCCATAATCCATCTTTCATATATCCAAATCTCTCTATTGACATGGGAACAAGTATCTTAAATAAGGTTGTATGAGAGCACTTCATATATTCTAAGCATGAAAGAGAACATCATGTTAGTTTTCTGATTCTAGTTTATCTTTTTTATACAAGGGACAGATAATTTCTTCTAACCAGTCTTCAGACAAACAATGAGGATAAGATTTTTTAACTTCTTCTCGAGTTTCTATCCAATTTCTGCTCATTGATTTGCATCATTGTTTACATCTTCTCTCCACAGTCCTTTCTTAAAATGTCTCGCCCATCAAAATACCCTGCCTGTCCATTAAAAGCACGTCTCATTTATAGGTACTATTTCGCTGGCGCGGTCCACGACCGCGACTGCTCGCGGTTGACCACTGCTTTAGTGGAATAGAAAGGAACCTATTTCGCTGGCGCTGCTCGGCAGTTTAGGTATGACGTCATATCTAAGCTGCTCATATCTGACTCCTCTTGAAGCAGTGGAGCTGTTGGCGGTTCGACGGTTGTAGGTTATGTTATCATATCAGAGCATTGTTTTGATGATAACAGTCCCGTCGATACGTTTTATTTCCTATGTTTCTTTCAAGTCTGGCAAAAATTATAACAAATATTGTTTAAAACTGAAACAATGCAATAGTAAATTATTTTTTTGAGGTTGAAGTAACAAGATTATTTATTTATTTATTCCACCAGCAATATTTTACAGCGAAATACAAATATACCTAAATCCAAACGATATTAAATAAATTAAAGAATCCAACAAATTTTATCCTCAGGTAAATACTAAAATCCACCCATTGAAAAAACGATTTGTATTTTTTAATTAAAGTGGTGATTTACTGATTACTATTGATAAAACTATAAAACATCGCTTGCTTAGATTTAATTACAAATATATGATATTTATTACTAACCAATTATGTATTAATTACTATTACTTTTCAAACTAATAATATGTAATATCAGAGGAACTTTGATGATGAGCATCACATCGAAATACTGATATTCCTTCTCTTTATGAACAACATTTTCTCTTCTTTTTCCAACTCAAATAAAAAAGCGGTAGTTAGAGATGTTCATTATTATAGGAAGTTCATTTTTATTCTTATATTATGTCTATCTTTTTATCTTCAAAGATACAGCGAAATGTTCGAAGGTTATAGGCAGGTTATAACAACCCCAGTGAGCAGTTTCAGCGAAATAGGTACGCCAACAGCGGTTGGCAGGGGGGAATAGCAGTCGCTGTCGTCGACCGCGCCAGCCAAATAGTACCTTATTGAATCCTTCCACCTCTCGTTGTTTTCTTTTTATTTCTGTTTTCTCTCCTCCCTTCTTTCACAATTATCTTCCAGCGAATACCATATCTGGATAATTTTCTCGTACGTGTGATTTGTCTTTCTAATGGTAGAGAAAAAATTGTCATCAAACTGTAGATTCTTCTGTGGATTGTTACTGCAATGAGGTAAGGCTATTGGCGAGAATTTTAATTTGAGTATTTGAAATATTAATAGTTGAAATGTAGCTCTTAAAACTAAATTAATCAGTCATATCAAACAATATATTCAGATATTGGTTTATTTATTATTATTTTTTTTTTTTTCAGGATTGTGCTGAACAGACTATCTTTAGTTTTGCTTCTAATATGTACACAACTATTTTTATGAGGCTAATTAATCAAAGAAATAGAACACTTGAAAAATATTCATTTTACCACATGAACATTGGATACCAAAAAGCTTTGTCATTTATGAATGAAGATGGATCTTTTAGTTTTTTTAGAACTGATTGGTAATTATTCTCCTATAAAATAAACTGACATATATGACAATAAATTAGATTAATCCTGATTGAGCTAGTTTTGTGATAAATAGAAATTTTAAATCAAAACACTTTTTTTTTGTTAACTTTTTTATTAATTGAATTTAGTTAACTTTTTATTGATAAATAATATGAAACTACTGTGGCCAAGCATTTAAAAACCGTATTCTAGCCTGCTCCAGCCAGAAGTGAGTCTGGCTATTATTTTGTTGCAAAACCTTGAAATTAATTTTGACCTTCTTAGTTACATAAAAAATTAAAATTAGTTTTTCCCGGGGAGGAGAAGAGGGCGGGAAAATTATGCCGTGTTAAAAGTCCCACTGGGCACTGCTATTTGTACTCATAATTATTTTTCTATCTCTAACTTCGGTTATCAGGTTGCTTATTGCCGGACAACGCGCGGTGCTATGATCACACTCGGCCACCCCGCCCCTGGTCTTATTCTGGCTAGATAAGGTGAATTATCTATAAATAATCAATGTAAATTAATGAACTCTATGAACTGCTGCTTCAGTTTAATATTTTTCCAAGTTCCTCTGGAGACTCATGTGTCATTAACCTCTACTCTTGCCTAATGCAAGTTTAACCATTGAAAAATATAGTAATTACTTGAAATTTTATTCCAAGTAAGACAACCAGCCTTTCTCTTATTCATTAGATTTTCTGTAAAATTAGGGATTGATTTATTTAATGATTTCTCACTTTGACCTACTTTTTTTTAATATTCTTTTGTCACAAACACTGTGGCTACGCTTGGGTTTATATAAATTTCTGGCTTTTGCCAAAACACATTATCTTTAGATATAAATGTGCTTGGATTAATATTCCCTGAATACTAACTAAATGCTGATTTAATGAATAAATTTCATATTTTATATTAAAACAATGAATAATAATAATTAAAGTTGTTTTAAAACAATAATTGTTTTATTCTTATAAATTGTTATATATTTATTAAATAAGTAACAGTCCCTGATTGTCTTTATACGTGTTGATTTACTAATATATTCTGTCATAAAATAATTTATTTCATTTAGCTATGAAATCCCTTTGTTATTTTTTAAAATTCTTAATGAATCATATTTTTAGGAATCATTCTTCACCAAGTGTGTGGCTTACAGCGTACTGTGCCAGAATTTTTCAAGAAGCCAGTTTTTATGAATGGGAAAATTATATTTATATTGATCCGCAAGTAAGTAAAGCAATAAATCATTTATTAATAATAAAAACAGAAATAGTTAGATAAAATTCTGTATTTTGTATAAAACAATTACAGGTCTGGTTGGCTATTTTATATTTAACACAGTACCAACTCATCACTAATATCATTCATTAAAATATACTACATATTAAAGTAATTAAGAAGATACAAACAAAATTCAAAATAAAACATCAGTAACATTGATTATAATATCTACAATAATATCATACAATAATAATATGTTTACATTACTGTCATATTATAATAAGATTTCAAGATGGGCCCTAGCCCAGAAGGGAATTCCTCTATGCAAATTCACACTTATGATGCATCACAAACGATAATAGGCTAAAGTTCCCTATTCATACAAAATAAAGGACCTAATTTTGAGAACCTCTCCAATAAACCAAAATTGTTCAAATATTATATCCTTATTAGATGATGAAAGTAAGAATACCAGTCTAATCTCATCGTTCGCTATTTTAATGTCCTGAAGAAAACCAATCTGGGCAGGCTTGTACATGGGATATTCGACAAGGATAGGAGCAAGCGTTTCAGGTCTTCTCAAGTTGCATATGGGGCAATCCAGCTCAGTGTTTATTCCATACGAGACACCTTTAAGATAAAAGCGCAATTCGCACTTCTCAGAGAGTATGGGCTGCATGAAAGCCCTCTTCCATTGTATAGAAACTTTTAAATTAACATATTCTTCACAAACACCTAGGGAGATTAGATTAGATAGATGGGTACATTGGGTTGTACCCAGAACCAAGTATGCACTCCACATCTACAGAAATGTGGTGATTGTTCCATCTTTCCAGGATATCATTTTTATTGTTTAGTAACCAACTGTTGTTAGCATATGGGAAGACATCCCTATATCCAAGACTGTTAATAATTATGTAGAGAGGGGCAATCGATAAATCGTGGAGATTCACTGGATGAAATCCGGTTCCATTCAAAATCCTCCTATAACATTTAATAGGTGTGCAGCGCACTAGCGGCAGCAAAATGGATTCGAAAAGTCTTAGCGAAACCTCCCAAGATCTCACTTTCCCTCTCACCAAGACCTCCTTCACCTTACCAAGAACCTTTGTACCACGACTTATAAAATGGTTTGCTGCTTTTTTTTAACTTTCCTGTGCAACTGAAGGGCACGCCAAGGTAAGTGGCATTATTGACATATTCAATTGCCTCATTATCTAGCAAGAGTGAAGGTTGCCTCTTACATCTGGGGGTTGCTTAGAAGACAAATTTGGTCTTACTACAATTCATTTTAAGCTTATTTGCCCTGCAATATTCACCAAAGATAATTAATTTGACCTGTACATTGGTTCTTGAGTCGCCAAATAGTATAAAATCATCAGCAAAAAGGAGGCCAACAACATCATAATGCGACGTACAAAGTCCGTCGTTTCACTCTAACGTACAACAACATGATGCAATATAGAGTGAATAAATTATTAGTACATGACCTCCCTTTCCTGAAGCCTGGCTGCTCTTTTGTTATTAAATTGCTTTCTTTTAACCACTGATTCTCTCCCCAAGAATCAAGGTAAACAGCTTGGCGCAAGTGTTGAATAGAGCAATAAAAACAGAAACTAAAATACGTCCAGGATCGGGAAAGAATAATCCTGGGCTATTTCCTGTCTGCCATAAAAGGCGACCAAAAGTGGCATAGAGTTCGGCTGGCGAACCAACCTGTGTAAAACATATTGCTAAAAAATGGACTGATATATGATAAATGACCCGGCATGGAACGGACTAAGCATTGGATGATTAGAACCTGAAACTTGCATGGGTAGGTGGGAAATAGTAATGAGTGAGGATCTGCAGAGAGGGGTGGACAGACCCAGTGACCACTTCTTGGTTTGTGTGAAGTACAGGCTGAGACTATTTACAAGAACACAGGAGGTAAAGCAAAATAATAGTAAAAAATACAATACTAGTGCCCTAAAAATACCTGAGATCTAAAAAGAGTATAAAATGAAAGTTAAGGAATATCGGAGAAGCAGCCCATTAGAAGAAGAAACCGTACAAATTAGACGGGATAAAATCAAGACTGCTGTCATAAAAGCTGCAGAGGATACACTTGGAGAAGAAGTGAATGTTAGAAAATGCCACTGGTTTGATCTAGAATACCAAATCTCTGTGGAGGAGAAAAAGAAAGCTCATCTAATGACGAGAAGAACTAGACAGGCAGCTGAAAGCTATAAACAAAAAAGAGAAGCAACCAAGAAGCTGTGCAGGAGCAGGAGGAGAGCGTAAAAGCAAAGATAAAGATTGAGGATTTTGAGGGTAAAAATATCAGAGCTTCTACAATAAAACAAAATCATTGAGGAGAGGATTCCAGCCTCAAGATATTTCAATGAACTATTTAACACCGAACCCAAAGAAATGCCAATAGCTAGTAAACGCGGTTAAACAGAAGTGAAAGCGGATACAGATCTAGAACCCCCAGATCTAGAAGAGATAGAAAAAGTTACCTTAAACCTATAAAATAACAAAGCTCCAAGAATCGACGGTATTACTGCCGAGAAGCTTAAATGTGGGGGAGATATATAATTTTATTCTAGAAATATGGGAAAAGGGACAAATGCCCAAAGAATAGTATAGATGATATTTTTGAGGGTAAAAAAATATCAGAGCTTCTACAATAAAACAAAATCATTGAGGAGAGGATTCCAGCCTCAAGATATTTCAATGAACTATTTAACACCGAACCCAAAGAAATGCCAATAGCTAGTAAACGCGGTTAAACAGAAGTGAAAGCGGATACAGATCTAGAACCCCCAGATCTAGAAGAGATAGAAAAAGTTACCTTAAACCTATAAAATAACAAAGCTCCAAGAATCGACGGTATTACTGCCGAGAAGCTTAAATGTGGGGGAGATATATAATTTTATTCTAGAAATATGGGAAAAGGGACAAATGCCCAAAGAATAGTATAGATGATATTTTTGAGGGTAAAAAAATATCAGAGCTTCTACAATAAAACAAAATCATTGAGGAGAGGATTCCAGCCTCAAGATATTTCAATGAACTATTTAACACCGAACCCAAAGAAATGCCAATAGCTAGTAAACGCGGTTAAACAGAAGTGAAAGCGGATACAGATCTAGAACCCCCAGATCTAGAAGAGATAGAAAAAGTTACCTTAAACCTATAAAATAACAAAGCTCCAAGAATCGACGGTATTACTGCCGAGAAGCTTAAATATGGGAAAAGGGACAAATGCCCAAAGAATAGTATAGATGATATTTTTGAGGGTAAAAATATCAGAGCTTCTACAATAAAACAAAATCATTGAGGAGAGGATTCCAGCCTCAAGATAGTTCAATGAACTATTTAACACTGAACCCAAAGAAATGACAATAGCTAGTGAACCCGGTAGAACAGAAGCGGAAGCGGATACAGATCTAGAACCCCCAGATCCGGAAGAGATAGAAGAAGTTACCTTAAACCTAAAAAATAACAAAGCTCCAAGAATCGATGGTATTACTGCTGAGAAGCTTAAATGTGGGGGAGATATATAATTTTGTCCTAGAAATATGGGAAAAGGAACAAATGCCCAAAGAATAGTATACAGCCATTATATAGTACCCTACAACCTTACCCATCATACCCAGTTCTCAGAGTCCTGGTTTGATCTGTTTATCTTGGATTCCCTGGATAAACTCTTCGCAGCATCTCATCACCCAGTTCCGTTTCTGTCTTCCCATGATCTTATCCAGATTTCCTACAACATCCCGGTCCCATTTTTTTCTCCTCAAACCATATCCTTCCGAAACCTCAATTCCCTCACCTATGAAGTCCTGTCGCAGGATCTCGACGCTACCCAGTGGGATCCCATTTATTCCTTAAAATCTATTGATGCCATGGTAGAAATCCTTACCAACCATCCTCGACTGCCATGCTCCTCTCCTAACTAAAACCATCCAACATCCCCCTGCTCCTTAGTTGACACCCGCTCTGCGAGAGTGCATGAGAAGAAGAGATGCGGCAAGACGGCAGTTTAAATGTATCCAACTCCCAGATCGCGTTCAAGCAAATTCGAAACAGCACTCAGTCTGCTATACGCTGAGCCGAATCCCGTTATTTACACCATTCCTTATCTAACACCCCAAACTCCAAGTCCAAGTGGGCTATCCTAAAAAAACTCACCGTTTATAACACACCTCAAACCCAGCTCATTTCCTTTTCTGGTGATGGCCTTAACGCTCACTTTGTCTCCTGTCCCTTCTCGTCCTCATCTCCCGCGACTATACTGTCTCCTATGTGTTTCCATATAAATTTTAATCCTGATTACTTCTTTTTTTCCCATATTACACCTGATGACCTCCTCAACTCCATTCAAAAGTCGCAAACTGATGATTATGGGCCCGATAACATCCCAGTCAGACTGATCAAAGCCTCACTACCATCCATCCTTCCAATCCTATGCCATATCTACAATTACTCACTACAAAACACTACCTTTCCTAAATCCTGGAAAACTGCACTAGTTCGCCTTATGAAGAAGAATTCCAACCCATCAACTCTTAATGATTTCCGTCCAATTTTTCTCTTCTCAAACCTTTCCAAACCTTTAGAGTGACTTGTTCAAACTCAATCATCCAATTTTTTATAACAAATAACCTCCTAAATCCCAACCAGTCCAGTTTTCGGCCTGGCTACGCCACTCAGTCTGCCCTCATCAAAATTTCCCAAGACCTTCATACAGCCATGGACCAGCAGAAACTCACCATCCTTATTCTCCTTGATTTCTCCAAAGCCTTTGACTCAATAGACCACAAAATTCTCCTAACCAAGCTTAAAAATATTTCCTTTTCAACTAGGACCCTAAATTGGTTCCAATCCTTCCTTTCCGGCCGTTCCCTGTATGTTGTAGTCCCCAATAATCCCCCATCAGAATCTTTACCCTTGTCCAGAGGTGTCCCACAAGGCTCTTCTTTATCTCCCACCTTTTTTCCATCTACATCAATGACCTTTCATCCTCAATCCTACACTGTCAATACCATCTGTAGGCCGATGATGTCCAGATTTATCTCTCCTTCAATCCGACCGAATCCTCTGACACCATCCAAAAATTACAGGAAGATATAAACGCAAATGTGCCTGGGCAAACCACAATAGGATTACTCTAAATGCCAAGAAGACGAAATTCATCCTGATCGGATCTCCCTCACTCCTCAAATCCTTACAGACACTCCCCAATCTTTTCCTGAACAACTCACCTATCTCATTCCACACTTTCGTAAAAAACCTTGGTGTTACATTTGATCAAACCCTCTCCTGGAAACCACACATCTCCCAAATTTCCCGTCGTACTATCTCTACCCTGAAACAGTTTAACCGTTTCCGCTATCCCCTTCAATATAAATCCTGTCAAATTCTGGTTTCCTCCCTTGTGTTCCCCCACTTCGACTATGGCTGTCTGGTGTACGGCAGACTCTCTAGAGAATTCGAGGCTAAAATTAAACGTCTAACGCAATACGTTTTGTTTTCCGAATCTCAAGAGATACACATATAACCCAGTATTACACCACGTTGAAGTGGCTCTATCCATCTAACCGCCGTCTGTATTTCCTTGCTACCTTTCTATACCAAGTCATCAGAACTCAGCGCCCTTCCTATATTTTTCACAGCCTACAATTTAAATATTCCATTCAATCCCGTCCCATTAGATCTCGTACCTCTGACCTCTATCCACCTCCTCACCGAACTGCTGCGTTTGACAAATCCTTTATAATTCAGAAGTCAAGCTATCTTCTTCTGGAATACCATCCTTCCCGATATCCGACATGTACAATCAGTTTCCTCATTTAAATCTCTTCTTTTTAAGCACCTACTCCTTTCCCAACCCGATTAATCATGAAACGTAGATAAGAGAACTTTTTACAGTTCCCCCAGAAATGATTTTCTTTACTTATGTTATTTTATTTTCCCACGTTTGTATTATACATATCAGTATGTTTTTAGCATTATCGTTTTATATTTTGTTTTATTCTTTTCCAATATTTTAAACTTAATAAGAATTGTAAATAATTAATTTTATGAATGGCCATACAGGCATTTATTCTGTATCTATAATTTGTCCTAAAGGGGCAACAGTCCCAGGATAATAAAAACATATTTTCATTTCATTTCATTAGGATAAGAATGACATTAGAGTATAGTAGGGGTGTAGTCAAGACCCAAGGAAAATCATCCGCAGATTTCGCCATACAAAATGGAGTGAAACAGGGAGATCCTTTATTCCCAGTGTTATTTAACATGGTTTTAGTAATAATTATTTGGGCGATACAAATGAGGACCGACGGGTGAATTTATAACAGAGAGACAAAACACTTTGCATTTGCTGACGATATAGTCATAGCACCATGTGCACTTTTGCATGCATACAAAGATTGTGAAGAGGCAGCAACCAAAATAGGTCTCAAAATAAAAGAGGGAAAAACAAAATATATGATATCTTCCAAAAAAAGCATTACTGTCAGTTCTCTGAAAAGTGCAGGGTATAGTTTCGAAAATGTCATAAAATTCAAGTACCTCGGCACTATCATCAGAGAAAATAATGAAATAGACGATAAGATAAAAGCCAGAAAAACAAAATTGTGTCAATACATATATAATACAAATTGTTTTTATATATATATATATAAAGAATTAAAATTAAAGTAAAAGGTAAAGAAGTAAACACTGTGACTGTTTGTCAGGATCATTTCTTACTGTCAGGTTTCACTGTCAAATAACACTAAATTAATTACTTTTTTTCCAGGTTATTTCTAAAGCTGTATCATGGGTTCTTAGACACCAATTACCAGAAGGGTCTTTTTATGAAGTAGCTTGGTTTCATGATCGAAAAATTAACAGCACATTATCATGGCCTGATAATCCAATTCAATTCAGAAATATTTCATTAACAGCTCATGTTTTGATCATGCTTGAAACTGTTAAAGACCTTACAGGGGTATGTTGTTGAAATAACAATTAAGATAGTTTGTTATGTTCTGATTACTGATGTGACATTATTTATAGGGATTAGGCTCAGCTGTAGCTACAGCTCAAGCAGGTGCAATTAAATGGCTTGAAAGAAATTTAGAACTGATGAATCATGCTGAGGATCCTTATGAAATAGCTATAGTTGCTTATGCTTTGATGTTAAGCAAGGCTACTACAGCTGAAACAGCATTTGGAATACTGAGTAGACATGCTCGAGCAGAAGGTATTTTTTTCAATTAAAAAAAGTATGTAAAGATAATTTTTTTTTTTAATGAGTACCTGTGAGTATCTTGATAAACACTCAAATTTACATTGGCCATAGCAATATTATGGAATTTTCATCCACTTAAATTGTTTCCTTTCTTCTATGAATCCACTCCAGGAAACTAAATCAATACTTCATGGTTTGAAGCCTTAAGGAGGAGCCTATTCACTTTCATATGGCTCAAAGGATAGGATGATATTGAAATGAATATTTTTATTCTGGGTATCCCCCTAAGAATAATGAAAAGGATCAAGAAATGTGTACATTAGTCTAGCTTTAAAATAAATAAAGCAAGTATACAGAGAAAAAAAAATATAGGTAACATGAAATAAAATGGCACTGGTCAATTATCAGTTGATAAGCAAAAGAAAATCTAAAGATTTTTACAAGGTTGTGGATGATAGAATATAAAGTAGGTGGTGGAATAGGAGTTGTTTGAAGGATTTTGTAGATGAGGATTGACATGGCGATAGGCAAGGAGTTCCAAAAATCCTGGCAATCCCAAAGATGAATCTAATAAAGCAATTCATAAGTCTCACCTCCAGCCCTGCAGACATTCCTCTATACACCAAGCAACCATAGTCGAAGTGAGGAAAAATGAGGGAGGTTACAAGGAGCTGTCTGGTTTTTGAGGGATATAATCACAGAATCTAATGATTTGCTTAAGGATAGTTATGGATTTTCAGAGTAACAACTGTCTGGGTTGGACCCTTTCACCTGCTGTCTGTTAGTTTCCATCATCCAATAAATCAAAGGTTACTGTTGCTTGTGTATTTTTATTATTGTACAATGATGGAAATAAATAAATAAACCAATTAAATAATTGACTAATTATTGATTTCTTATTTATTTGAAGTAATCATTAATTAAATAAATTGGTTTGGTTCCTAGCCATAATATGGATTCCATCCTCCACTATTTTCACATTTCTAATTATACATGAAGTTATTAGTTAAGTCATTTATTGAAGAATATAAATACAAAAATGGAAACTATTTTCGTATTATATTATTGGGTATCAAGCCTGGACTTATTTCATTAACAATAACTAATTTCTGATACCTTAGATTAGAAGATTGAAGTGAATTTTCCTCTAGGAATGGAGATTACATCTCGTGGTCTCTCCTTGCATCATTTTTTTTATTTTTCACATTGCTTATTTCTGAGTCTTGTCGTAGATCCATAAGTACTGTAGTTTCAAACCATTGCTCACTAGTTGGGTTTAAATTGCTCACTAATGTTAGTATTTATACTGTAGAGTTGCTCTTATGTTTTATTGTTTGGAAATCAAAGTACAATACAGTACCTCATCGTTTAATACAGGGTCCAAAACTCATTCATTGATAGTGCATTAGATTCTGTACCTATTTTCACAAATCTATAAATAGTGAGCATGTCTAATGTATGCTTTGACTTTCAATCGCATTGGCACCAGGTTTAGTAAAACTTCCACCATAGAAGTTAAAATGGTCTTCAGAGTTCTCATGATTAACAAAGACTGTTTAAACCTTTTACTTTAAAAGGATTAATGTTGAAGCCCTTTTCTGCTCACACATTATCAGAACACCCTGGAATGTCTTAAGAAAGTCAGAAATGATATTTAAGTACTTGTCACTTTTTAGGAGAGCAATGTTGTTTGAGCCTAAAGATTTTCCACCTGCATATTGGTGAAAATCTCATAATCACTTAATGTATTGCGCATTAACGTTTACTGGAGGATTTATTTCTAATAACTTACTAATGCCAGTTTTATTTTACAAAGTTGATTTTTGTTTGTTTTTATAGGTGGATACACTTACTGGGGTAAAGAAAAGGTACCTTTGCCTCCATTCAAAATGGAAAATCAAAAACCATTTTTACTTCCACGTTTACCATATAAATATGATGCTTCCAATGTTGAAACAACATCTTATGCATTATTAGTATATGTTGCTCGACAAGAAATCGAAACTGAATCTATTATGAAATGGCTTAATTCTCAAAGACTAACTGATGGTGGATGGGCCTCTACACAAGTAAGAAATGATAAATTTATTTTTTATTAAATAGGACAACAAAATTTAAATTTAAGCAACAAAACTTTAGATTGTTTGTATTCATATTTATTTATGTGATAATTATCATTTAAAGATATCACACAATAATTCTTAATGTCTAAACTAGATGAAAATTATTTTAATAAAATTTAAACTTCCTGATTTTATTAATGATTTAAATCAGGGATCTCCAAACTTTTTGGCTCAAAGGCCACATTGGGACCTCTACCCAAGTTCAACCGCATGGGTACCTCCACCCAAGTTCAACTGCATGGGTACCTCGACCCAAGTCCAGTGGGACATAGCTTGTGATGAAAGAAAAAAAATCTCGTTCTATAAAGGCTACTTCAGCTGTGAAATGAGCTTTCTTAGAGAAATAAACTCATGCAATAAATGTTGTAGTAACCTCGCGTGTGAGTAATTGGCTAAAATTCATATTTTTAAATAGTTTTTAAAATTTTACCATATAATCAAAGAAACTTTCACGGGCCGAATTTAAGGTGCTTGGCCGTAGTTTGGAGACCCCTGCTTTTGGGAATAACTACCAAGGACGACCCCCAATCGCTTGTTGGTGCTTTGGATAATATTCCTGCGGCTTCAAGTGAGTCTAATTTTGTTTTTGTGAGTTTGTCTAATTTGTTTGTGAGTCTAACTTTTCTCGCAGTGCGTACGGTACATTCCTTTCTAGAGTATAGGTAGGTTTAGTATTATCTCAGAGTTGAAGTTAAATAATAAAATCTGGTGCACATCCTACTTTTAGAACAAAAATTTCAGGGAAAAGTTGTTGAATATCTGGATATCGTTGTTATTGGTTAAGGTACTCTAAAAAAATTTTAACTGCCTTTTCTTCCTTGTCTATACCTTTTAAGTTTATTTTCAAATGTCTAACCCATATTTGTTCTAGCAGGGGTCATAACCATCAGGTACAACATAAAGTTCTTCATGAGATACAGTGTCTTAGATCCATTCTAACTTAGGCTTTTCCTAGTGTTCTAAATGTTGTCTGTATATGATTTAAAAGATTATTTGATTATATATATATATATATTTTTTTTTTTTTTTCTACGAACAGGCCTTAAAGACCACGCAAATACCATGAAGTTAATGCTTCTTCTTCATCTGCCTCCTCTTCTCCCATATGCCCCTCATGAGCTCCGCGTGCTTACGTTTATATTTTAATGATATATATTTATATTAAAAAGAACTGTACCACTACAACCCATGAAGGGTCTTAGGTTCAGTAGTATTGAGGGAAAGTACTGTTACAAGGCCAACAGTTGTGCAGGAGGGAATCGGGCCAGGACCACACTCAACCGCCAGGTTTTCCTTATCAAATCAATTATTTAATTAAGGGTACCCACTTTGTAGATGATGGGTGACCCCAGTAGGCTCTCCCTACCCCAGGGTTGCCCCACGGCCAATGAAACAGAATAAATAATTTTTCTGCCATGAGACGGGATTCGAACCTAAGATCTTGAGCATTGGAAGCTTAGTGCCCTACCACTGAGCTACCCCGCTCCCACTATATATTTATATATACCACCAATATTTAAATTGAGTTTCAGGTATGAGCGTGTAGCTCCGTCATAAATTTTGAGTGTTTAAAAACTATTTTTGATTTAGCCGATATCTGTTTTTTTTTCCTGAATCTTCTGATAGTTTTGATGTTGATTTTTTTTTTAAGTTGCTAATAAAAGTTTTTGAATGTTTAATTATTGCATATTTTTATAAATTTTAGGATACTGCTTGGGCAATGAAAGCGTTAATAGAATATACTAATAGAAACAGATTAAGAGATGTTTCAGGATTAACTGTTAGTATTGAAGCCACAGCTTTACCTGGACAAACAAAAATATTACATGTTTATCACAATAATATTGCTCAACTTCAACGAATTGAGGTATGTTATAATTTTATATCCATTGCTTAAAATATGATTATGATGAATCAATTAATGAATGTTTCCTCAATAATCAGCTCACAACACTGAAAAGTACTATGTAAAAAAGAAAATTAATCCTACTATACCTAAACCAATAATATATTTCTTAAAATATAATTTTTCTTTGCACAACTTACTTTATACATATTTCTAAAAATAGCGTATGTTCCTCCTAATGACATAACAACATTGCACATGTTTGGAATGTAATGACAAATGATTTTTCTCTTGTGGCATATTGTTCCCAAAGAAAAATTTAGACTCTTAATTTGTGGGACATTAGTCTACTTCTATCGATTTTGTTTCAAACACATTAGTAAATTTTAAAAAAATAATACATAAATTAAATGAGTAAAAAGATTTTAAATGTAACCTGTAATACCAGAAAGTTTTAATTAAGACTGTCTAGAGGCCCTAAAAATGCATCTTAAGGTATCATTGACAATTATTCCAATCAGAACGATGAAGTGTAGACAATTTTAAGAGTTCCACTAATGACCTCTCAACTTTTTTACTCAGAGGAAAATCATGGAAAAACAAGAAATAAAAGCTTTGAAACAACAGGGCTAATTTTACTTGACAGGATAAAAAATCACATCATGTTTTACACAACCTGAGCTTAATCTTAAGTTTTTCTAGAAGTTGGGTATCTATATTATAGTCAGACAATGATAAAAAAAAATCCTGCATAATTTATGATGTTTTTAAAATCAGAACTTAGCCTAGTTTAGCCGTCTGAAAGTCCTCTTTAAATAGTTTTAACAGTTACATATTATATTTTCATTTAAAGTAAATTTTTTCTAGTTTACAGTCAAGCAATTGTTAATTAATTAAATTAAACATTTCTTTAGTTATAGCTTCTTATGCAGCAAAAAACATGACTTGCTTAAAAAAACACAACTTAGATTTGCTACTTTTCTGCTGAAAATTGGCCCATTGTTTATATGTACTTATTTGTAGCTCTTGAAATCTGCTATCACCCCCTATACACATTTTCATATACTGATTAAACCATGCAGACATTGTAGATGTAATATATACTTAAATTATCATTATTTTCCATTATCAACAAGCCAAGGCACCAATCCGTTGTGTTAACTTTATTTTGTTATCCACTTCATTCTTTACTCTTTATTGTTAAAATCAAGAGCCTTTTTATAAACTCTATTTAGCTTAGTGTCTCTATGAAAATTGTTTTAATATTGAAATTCTTCACTTTTTTTCAATAAGTGAAACACAGAGCTTATTTTAAAGAAGAATTTAATATATTTTCTCCTTAAAGGTGTATATTTACAATGTTTTACCACTACATAGTTTTAAGTGTTTTGTACGTAGGTTTATTTTTTTGTTATTGTTTTTATTTAGTAGGTCAGATGTAATCTTGTAACAAATTCCCTTAGAATAACAGAATGTTATGGGAAAAAAAAGAATAATATATTACCATAAAAACTGTTACATTAAAAAATAGATAGATAAAAAGTTTTAAGTAAACAAACAATTAACAAAATAGTACGATTACAAAATACTACAATTACATACAATACAAATAAGATATGAAATAAATTATGAAACAAAATAATTGCTGCTTAGCTAAAAAGATAAAAGAATATAATAAACAAAATAAAAAGATTTAAAAAAAAACAGTAGAATACAAAATAAGTTCCTCTAATAAATAAGCAATAAGTCTCTTATGATTAAATAAAAATTTCAACTCTTATTATATACCCATAAATACAAACATAAACACACACACACACACACATACACATATATAAAAGATCATAAGTATCATATGCACATATATATATATATATATATATATATATATATATATATAAAGTTTATTAATTTACCAACAGCATTTCTGCAAAATATAATCTTATGAGAAAATATATAGAACTCACTACTACCATCGTGACTGTGCTGAATACTGCAAGTGGAACAATTTAGAATCTTGTCCTGTCCTTATCTTGTGGCTGCTCTATCACAATCATCTCCTCTAGTTAAGTCTGATGTCTTTCTCGTTATCCTTGCATACCTCCCCTGATAACGTTTTAGTAAGATTTTGCGTGGTTCGAGATGCGGTCCTATCTCTTTATTTATTCGTTGAATGATATTTTCATTCTGCGTCTCTTAATCCACGCATCCGAAGTATTTTTAGCGATGTGCAACTACTGGTTTCTATCTGCAAGATCAGAACAATTTGCGGTTTAGTTGAAGTTGTTGCTAAACTTGTTTTATTAGTTTTCTTCTAGGAATGCGCCATAATTTTGAAGAATACCAGAAATTGTTGAGATTTATTGCTCACTATAGGTTACAACATTTATCTTAATGTTATATGGATATCATGTTCGTTCTAATCATTTAACCACCATTTTTTTAGAAAACGTTTTAAGAGGAATATATGCGATTCTCTATGCTGAGTCCATGTGCTCCTCAGCAACTCTAGCCCTCGGCGTGCCTCTACTGAGTCAAAGGCGCAGAGCTGAATAGGTGAAGGATTTGCTATTCTGCAAATGTCCTTACAATATTATTGTTGACATACCAAATATTACAATAAACAAAAGACTCCTGTAAAAGCTTTTTAGTCTTCATTACTAGAGCTATTTTTCATTGGAAGAAATCAGTCTCAGGGATATACATCTAGTACAAACAGTTGTCGGTTCCAATTTGGTGTTTTAATAATTATGAGTGTGAGCGTTTATAATATAATAATTGGGATGAATGCGTATGGCCAATTGTAATGATCTTCAGTGTGAAAATAAATACTACCAGTGTCTATTAAATGTAGCAGAATCTCATGTATACTCCTTATATAGTATATTAAATCCCACTGAACCCTATATAAGGAGTGATAAGCTACTAGTCATGAATTAACTTTTATTGGGGTCCCTGAGAGATTTATTGAACGTCACTTTTGTGAACGCGAGATTATGAATCTCTCGGAACATAAATTGTCTATATTGGTGTGCTTGTAAGACCATTGAAATTTCAATTTTTTTTTATCTTTATATGATAAGCGTGAGAATGACTACCTGGTAATTATAGGATGTGAGTTTGTAAAAGGCGGGCTTGCTTGTCATGCGTATTGCCAGTGTCTTGAGTGCGAAGCTTTTTGGTAGACAACAAGATGGGGCATGCGGCCTGGAATAGTGGACGGCGGTGTATGCTATGCACACTAAGT